CCCCAAAACCCCAAAACCCCAAAACCCCAAAACCCCTAGATTTCTGAAAAATATTGAATAAGATAGGCTAATTCAATCGAATTACGATCGAGTTTAAGTTAACAATCCTCTCCCTCCATGTCTTCGAGAGTCAGAGAAGGGTCGTCCACGAAGAAGGAATAAGGACCGTGATCATCGCTGTGCACTCCTATGATCATTATTCCGAATAGTTTATGGCTAATAGCTATTTCGTTGGCTTCCTTTTGATGAATTCTGCAATATCTAATGCATATTTCTCTAATAGACTCTCTGAGGCTGCATTCTGAGATAGCCTTAATGATGTCTGTAAATTTCTGTTTATGCTTCTCCCAGTTGCTGAATCTTTGGTTCCCAGTGTGACTAAAATTGAGTCTGGCAAGTTTGTACTCGCCATGTTTGAATCGAGCCTCTTTTGAGTCAAGAGTTCATTGGCCGAGCTCTAGTTCTTTCAAATGGCGAGTATGATACACAATTGATTCAAAATGAGACCGCTTGATCGCAAATCCAGTGAGCCCAACTGAGCGAGTCACACACGGCAATACTTTGATAAAGGAAATACGGTAGAAGCTGAATGGCTTCTTCAGCATCTTAGGGAAATCATCTAGCATTAGCTCAGCCACTTCTTTCGGGAAGGATTTATCCATGAACTCATTAACCTCTCTATCTTTCGAGGTTTGGAGAGCTCTGAACACAAAGGATCCGAGTGCCATGATTCTTTGGGTACCTAGTTTATTAAGTTCCTTGATCATTTGTCAATCTCTGTATTGTGCTCTTGAAATACTAAGCCTGAGTTTTCGGTAGTGACACGCCTTATTATACTCGAAGAGTGTGTGGAGTTTTAGTTTGAATACAAATTCGTCGATTTCGTCCAGGTCTTTCTGAAGAGACAACTCTGAACTTGGCTTGCTAGTTAGTGGTGTTTTATCCATTGTTTGTTAATGAAGATGGGTAATTTATTAATATGGGTGATGGAAATCAGCCAATTGGAACTAGTATGGGGTTTTGGGGTTTTGGGGTTTTGGGG